CTCAGCGGCCCCGTACTCTCCTTGATTGAACTCAAGGGTTACCGGTACTCACAAATATGTCGCACTAATATAGCTATTGCTTCAACCGTGTCGGTATACCCCGCACAGTTTCCACAATGTATTGCTATCTATGAATGTTTCCCCAAATCCGGGTGTAGGATTTCAAGCCCAAACAAGAGAACCAAGATGTAAAGCAATCAAAGCAAACAATTAGTCATGCAAAAGGGTGATCTAAGGCCTAAGGTTACTCCACTTTTAAATCAATTCCCCAGCAGAGTCGCCAGTTCTGTGATACGGTGGGAGAACTGACTTGGGATTTTGCGTTTGTTTTCGCAAATGTTTCGGTTTAGCAAGAGTCGCCACCGACTTTTTATTTTATCCTAAGGAAAGGTTAAAAAGCACAGGAAAAACCTTTGAGATGTTTTCTTGGGTTCGGGGAGTAGATTATAGAAAGGGAAGGTATTAGCACCCTTTCTATCCATGGTTATCCATGGGCTCTTAGTTACTTGCTTAGATCACTTGCCTTGCATTTTCAATTGTTTGAAATGGTGCTTTGTGTGTGTGGTTTTGAAAATGTTTTGAAAAAGATGCCTTGTCGGGGCAACCCTTGTAACAATTCTTTACTCGAATGTTTTACAAAAGGTGTTTGTCTTTTTGAAAAGATGTTTCAAGGTTTTGAAAGTTGTTTTGAAAGTGTGTTGTGGAGTGTGTTTTGAAAGTAGGCAAGTGTGTTTTGCAAGTTGGATCAAGTAACTAAGAGTTGTCTACCCCTAAATTTACTCAAAGATTTTTCCTATGTTTTAACCCTTTTAACAGTATTGTTCCACCATTGTATTTGGTGGACAATCTTGTGTTAGGATGTTAACGGGACGGGCGCGGGTCATCGTTTTGACCATGAATGCAATAGTGCCAAGTGTCTTTGACAATTTTTCCTTTAAGGGACTTGATCATTTTTAGGCAACTTGAGAAAGCGTCATCGAGGGACTATGATCATTTGATTTGTTTTGTTTTGCCAAAGACACTCAACATGCAACATGGCCCATTTTTGAAGGCAACAAGTGGAGGAACCCTAGGGGTGCAAGTGTGCTTGGTGTTGTCTATTTCCATGCTTGTTTATCTTTGAATTAGGTCAAGCTATTTGTTATTTTATTTGCATACAAACCCTAGGTCTATCATGGCATAATTTGAAAGCTTTTAAATGCGGAAATTTAAAATCCTAAATTATTACAACATAATTATAGGGATAGGGGTACAAATGTTTGAATGGGGGGATATTTAGCAAGAAATTAAATCTAAAACTATTACATCCATATTGAATATACGAATTATTTAATCGTACAATAATTAAATAAATACAATAAATATGCAAAATGTATTATGCACAAAAAGGATTTTTTATGTATGAGAAAGTATTTTTCAATGTGAAATATAAACAAAAAAATAAAAAGTCAATTTTTGATGATTTTTATTGTCTTAGGGCAAAACCCTAATTTTTGAATAAATAGCAATTATTTATTAAATTATATACAATATTTGTTAATTATATACAAAAATAAAAATAAGAAATATATTGTAAAAAAAGTATTTTTTAATGTCATATATTAATAAAAATAAAAATGTATTATTTTCATATTTTTATCCTAAATATTCTAATAAATATATAAGTATTTATATTATATATATTTTAACATACTAAATATATACAAGAAATAAAATATTAATTATTTACAAAAAAATGTATTTTTTAGAAAATGTTTTCAAAATGTAAAATAAAAATAATAACTGAAAATAAATATATTTTTGTATCATTTTTAGTGTTTTTAAATAAAAGTATATATATTATTCTATATGTATAAGTTTAAATGAAACAAATAAATTCCCAATAAATGCAAAAATGGGTGGAAAAATATTTTTTATATTTGAGCAAAAAACAATAAGTCAGAATCAAAAAGAAAAAATCAAAAATGATCAAAATATCACACAATGGGCCAGGGGGGTGTAAATGGAAAGTGAGGGTGCAAAAAGCAGGAACAACTCAGGCCCAGCCCAAGTCCACCTTCTTCAACCTCCAGCCATTCTGTTTGAATTTCGCGCGCCTCCTTGCTCAAACAACAAACTCCTGATTCTTTGACTTTTAACAAAAGCTCATAACATCAACATTGTAGAGCATGAAGAGACGAATTCATACATATAAAAATCTTGACCTAACTCTCAGAAACGAGGGAGAATTTCTTCATCCCTAATTTCTGACCTAAGTTTTCTCCAATGTTCATGGCCAAAATTCTCACAGCATACTCAATATAAATGAAAAGTAAGTATATGGATGGCTTCAGGGCTATGAGGAGAACATGTTTCATTCACAAACCTAAGCTTAATCATGCCTGGATAGAGAGATAGAAGTTCATATTTTTACCTGTTTCAGCTTGAGTTGTGTACATCAATGGAGGTATCTTCAATGGAGTTTGAGATTTGGTACAGCTTGCCTGAAGTCCAAGGATGCTTCTCCTATGCTTGGCTTGCTCTGAAACTGCCTGTATCGTCCTATGGAAGTCCACCTGCACAGCTGAAAAATGAAAATGGCAACAGGGATTAGGGATGTTACAGTTTGTATCTAGGGCTTGGGACAACTTCAATGGATGGTAGGGAGTGTGTTTGAACAAGCTTTGGCCAAAACGCACGAGCAAACTGAGTTGTGCAACTCAATCTGCAGGGATGCCCTGTTTCTTGCAGAAAAATGGTGTTTTGATTAATGAGGAGGTCTGGGATGTGGTTCAGTCGTGCTTTAGGTCAGTTAGGGTGTACGGAAAATGTTTGCAAACTTTGCTTTGGCTGGTTCTTACAGGAATGAGAGATGATGAGTTTTGGCAAGTTTTCTTCTAATTGAAGCAAAGAGATGTCAACTTGTGATATAGGCCTGTACCAAGTTCTCAAGCATGCTGCATACTTTGTTCTTGATCAGTGGGATTTGGCTAAAAACTTGTGCCTCAAAGATCTGGCTTGTACCTCTTGGATATGGTATTTGACATAAAGTGCACCTTTTCAAAAATGGCAAAATTGCTTTTTCTAATTATGGATTAGTTCTTTGTGTAATGACTAAATGCACAAAAAAAGACTTGAACACAAAGGTTAAGCATTTAATTATTGAGTGTGAAGAGGTTTAGAGGCCTGCAAACCATCACAAACCCGATTGACTTGAAAATGCCAATGTTATGAACATGTATTTGGCTATGATCAAAAGTGATTTTTGCCCATCTTTGCAAATTCGATTATCCCTAACCACAAGGGTGTTTGAGAAGTTCTTGGACAATTTGGAAATCTTGGAATGTGTACTACAATCCATCTTTGTAATGCAAATTGAAACTCCAAGTGGAACCATGTGAAAAATGGCCATGAAGTTGGACAAAAATCCTGCCTAGAATAGGTCAAAAAATTTCTAAGTTAAGAATGTTTTGCACCCTTGTTCCAAAAATCATAACTTGAGCTACAAGCTTCCTTTGAGAAAACTTTGTGAATCAAAGTTGTATATTTTTCAATGGAATACAACTTTCATGTTTTGTGTTTTGTTTGAATCTATTTGCAACTTGGTGAAAAAAATGGGACAAAGTTAGGAAAAAATAAAGAAATTTTATAACTTAGAAAATTTCTAAGTTATGAAATTTCTTCATTTTAAACCCTAATTTGCAATTTTGGATTTCTTGATGAACAAGTTTCATAATTTGACATGTCTTGATGAAAAATGAATCTTGGCACTTGATTTTGATCAAAAAGTCAAAGTTTGACTTTTCAGTATACAGTCAAATTTTGATCAGTTGACTGGAAAATTCATTTGTCAATCCTGTGCATTTGAGATCTTTTGAACTTGTTGAATGTGTCAAGACAATGCCATTGAGTCCTTGAGTCCATATGTGAGCTTGGTTTTCCATTGGTTAGGTCAAACAGTCAAAAATTGCCTTTGTGCAGTCAAAACCCTAAAAATGACCATTTTGCCCTTTTGGTGATCTGATCAAATTTCTTGTGGAATTGTGATCCAAACTTGACCAAATGGTTCATATGAGTTCATTAAGTTGATGTGGGTCAAATTTCATGAAGTTTGACTGTTAATTGGCCACAGTTGACTTTTTCCCCAATACAGCTGATTTCTAGGTCAACTGTCCAATTGACTGGGCAAAGATTGGAATCAAGGCTTGAAACTTGGTATGGATAAACTTGTGAGTCCAACATGAAGCATGAAAGTCACTTTGGGCATTTTAGGTCAAAATATCTTTGTGCAAACTCAAACCCTAATTTGGGTCAACAGTGCAAAGAGGAGTCTTGAGCAGAGCAAACCCTAACTTGATCCTGAGCTCCAAGGGTCTTGTGGTGAGAAAATATTGATGAAATGAGATGGAAAATTTTGGGTACAACAATAACTATGGATGAAAAGGGTGCTAGCACCTTCCCTTTTCATAATCTACCCCCCGAACTCAAGAAATAATCTCAAAGGTCTTTCCTGTTCTTTTCAGACTTTCCTTTTGGATAAAAGAAAAGTCGGTGGCGACTCTTGCTAACCGCAACATTTGCGATAAAATGCAAAACACCCAAGTCAGTTCTCCCACCGTATCACACCATCTCTTTTGCATTGTCACTTTTTATGGCTTTTATAGTTTTTCCAAACTAAGTTTTAACAAGTTGAAAAAACTGTTAAATCCTTATGGGGGCATCAGACTTATTTGTTAGCAAGTATATCCAAGTAAATCTACTAAAATCATTAACAATTATTAAAAATACATTTTTCCATCATAGGAAAGTTTTATATATGGACCCTATAAATCATAATGAATGAGATCAAAGCTTTGAGAATAAAAATTATTATTGCATTTGAAAGGTAATCTCTTAAGTTTGGCCAAAGGAGAAATGGTACACTGACTTGAAATAAAATCAACAGGAAATCTTATGACTATCACTTTTTAACATGGAATCTGAAAAATGACCTAGCCTATGATGCCTTAACTTGGCAATGTTTACAGAAGAAATAGAATTAGGATAAGGTAAGATTTTGAGTTGTTGAATAGCATCAACTTTAAGCATGTATAAACCTGAAATGAGGTCACCCTTGCCAATCATCTTGGATTGCTTGGTGTCCTGAATGAAAAAATTATGAGGATAAAAACTTATTTTGAGATGAGGATTAACAAGAAGCTTTCCAACTGAGATGAGGTTGACATGAAAAGTTGGATTGTATAACACATCATGCAGGAACAACGTATTATAAAGGATAATGTTACCTATAGTTGCAACATGTATGGGTTTACTATTAGGGAGAGTGACAAACTTATCTACTAATGGATTGTGTGATTTAAACAAAGATATATCACAACAAATATGAGAAGTAGCTCCTGAATCAACCATCCAATTATGAGTAGTGTGTGATTTAAGAGATTCAATAGAGGAAAAAGTCATACATATGACAGAGTTCACTAGAGGTGCTGCATCAAATGTCCTTGCCTTGGCCCTTTGAGTCTGCAGGAAATTGATGAGTTAGTGACAATTTTGTGGAGTCATGACTGGAATTTCTGAGAGAGAGTCAAAATTTGTCACACCATGATCAGTGACATTGTTACTTTGATTCCCATTCTTGACGCTTTGAGGTTTCTTGTATCCGGGGGTAGCCATGAAGCTTAAAGCAATTCTCCTTAATGTGATCAGTGACACCAAAATGAGCACATGTAGGTCGATCTTTATTAAAGTTATTCATATTGTTAGCTTGAACAACACATGCCATAGGTGTTTCAGTGGGATTCAATGTGGAAGTTACCTCTTTTTTCTTCTCATCTTGTGTAACCATCGATAACATAACATTGATAGAGGGTATCAGATCCATCATCATAATTTGGCCACAAACCTGATTAAAAGATTCATTCAATCCCATCAAGAATGTAAGAATATGCTCATTTTAGAAATGATCCATAATAGGTTATACTCTACCACAGTTGCATGTGTGAATTGGTCGATGTTCACCTAATTCTTCCCATAAAGATTTGAACTGAGTGTAGTAGGTACTTATGATACGGTGGCAGAACCGACTGTTTATACTGCTTTTATGTTTGTGTTTGAAAATGTTGCGGTAAGCAAGAGTCGCCACCGACTTTTCTTTTATCCAAATTAAGGAAAGGGTGAAAAGAACAGAAAAAGACCTTTTCGAGAATTTTCTGAGTAAGGGGGGTAGATTATGGAAAGGGAAGGTGTTAGCACCCTTTCCAGCCATAGTTTTCTACGGGATCTTAGATGCTTAGCTCATTTTTTAAATACCTTGTGCTTTGTGTTTTTGAAAAAGTATTTGAAAATACCTTAGTGCGGCGATTAGCTTTATGATAACTCTTGTATCAGTCCTCAAGAGTGTTGATAAAGTGTTTTTTTAAGTGTTTTTGAAAGAAGTTTTGTGTAAGTGCAAAAAGTTTGTTTTTGAGCAAGCATTTAAGAACTATCTACTTATACTCGAAAAGATTTATTCTTTTCCTCCTATCCTTTAGACAGTTCTATCCTACTATTAGTGAGTAGGTAGCCCTATCGTTGGATGTATGAGGGACATTCGAAGGGACGTACAGTCATAAAGGCAACATATGGAGACGCTTTAGCGATTTTGTTTAAGGGACATGATCATTTACTGAAAGGCAACATTCTAGGGTCATCGAGGGACTATGATCTTTTGATTTACGAGTCTTTTCTAAAGCGTCCCTGTTGTACCCCAAAATTTACCCTCTCATGTTTCTCAAGGTTTTTTCTCTTATATGGGTGGTTACAAACACTTGCCTAAAGAAAATGAATTTTTTTAATGTTAGCAAAGTGTCTTTCGATTGGAAATTAAACAATTTCCTTCGATTGGCATAACAGTAAGCTTCTACTGGGCTCCTAAAACCCTTCGACCAAGCATTGGCCCATCAACTTCGATTGTGCGTTGGTTCCCCTTCGAACAAGCCTTGGTCCAAGCTTCACAAGCAAGAATCCCCTACAAGTTTGCTTCGATTCACCAGCAGTGAACTCCTGCATACAAGCTTCGATTGGGCGCTGAATCTCCTTCGATCAAGCTTAATTCACAAAGCTTCCTCGTGCATGCCTTGGTTTCACAAGGCAAAGACCCATCAGCTTGCCTTTGATCTACAAGGTAAAAGGCTCTTTTCACTGGTTTTTGATTCATAAGACAAAGGGCCACTTCAGACATGCCTTCGATTCATAAGGCAAAGGCCCCCTCTTCAGCTTTCCTTCAACACACAAGGCCAAGACTCCTTCATATTTCCTTCAATCCACCAGGCAAAAAGCTTCCTTCGCCCCACAAGGAATTGGCTGCCTTTGTGCTAGCTTCGACTGGGCAATGGTCCCCTTTGAAATAGTTTTCCACACTTCGACACGATGATAGTCCCTTTGAAGGCGCATTCATGTGGTCCCTTTGAAGAAGCATTGATTGGTCCATTCGAAGGACACATGACTATTGAAAACAAGTTTGCTTTATGATGATTCTTGGAACATGATGCTTGCTGGATAAAATCATGTACGCTGCCAAGCCCAAATCCCCTGCACAAGCACATTCCTGCCAAAGGAAGCTTTGAATGACCAGAATAAAGTCTTTCAATTGGGCTAGTTGAGTAGTGTCAGAGCAATCAAAGAGAGCGAACTTAGGGGCTGATCAAAGAAGCCAAAATGTTGAGACTTTGTATAAATCGAATCAAGATCTAGAGTCAATTGAAAAGCAAATATCTGAGGGTCTTTCGAAGAAGCCCTGATGAAGGAAACTCTGAACAAATTCGAATTCAGAGTCATTAAAAAGGACAAATGCTCTGACAAAGAGAATTTTGGACATTCGAATTTATGCAGATATTTACTTAATTAAAGAAACTCTGATAAGGGAAAACTTTGAATTCAGAGTCATCAAAGATTTGAGAAATTCAAATTGATGTGGATGGAATCCATCTAAGGAGATGAATCAGAGCCATTCGAAGGAGGAAATCAGAGTCATTCGAAGGAGGGAATTCGAAAGTCATATGTGTCCAAGTTCATAGAAAATTCAAAAAGGGACAAGAAACCATGTCTTTGGCAAAGTTTCAAAGTGATATTCATGATCTTAAAACATCAACTTAATGGCTGTTTATTCCTTGGCCCTCTTTTCCCCTCAATCCCCTATATATAAGGAGCACACTATCAAGCTCCAAAGACACGAAAAGAGTCTGAAAGAGTCATACGAAATTGCAAAAACTAGGGAAAGTTGTCAAATTCCAAAACACATTTCCAGCCATCCTCAGCCCAAACAAAGGACTCAAACACGTTCCTGAAGGTCCCCTGAAGCCTTTTCAATCATTACCATGCCCTGAAGCATCACGAGACATCCTAACCAGCTCTCACGGTTTGCATTTCTTATTCAAATTCATTTATTTGATTCATGTGATATAAGCTCGTTTCAATCATGCATATTTGTTCATAAGAATGTTTACAAGCTTTTTGTATAGTTGGATTTAAGTTTTGATGCAGGTATGATGCTTGGCCATGGTTAGGGTTTGGACCTCTGAATTGGGGTTTTTCGAATCAACCAAAATTAGACACAACTAAGGGTACCATCATGCTCAGGAGGTCGAGGCCAATTGATCCATGGCCTCATATTTAATTTATGCTGCGTATTCTGGATGTTTCAAGATGCAGGTGCTATAGTGACAAACAAAAACTGTCATTATAGGTTTCTATACCTAAAATGATGGAGCAAGGAAGAAGACAAGGTGTGGCAGTTTCCCATTGGCTCATTAAAACCCAACGCGAGTTTTTTCGTTTTTAATATATCTAATTAATTTTTCTTATATTATATTATGATTTTATTTTATGTAACGAATGGACAATTAGCTCAGTTGGAAAGGCGCGTTTGTGTGAAGGGAGAGGACCTGGGTTCAAGTCCCAGGTCCAACATTTTCTCATTTTTCTAACAATATTCATGCAGATCCCATGTAAAGCATGGTCAGACGTGCACCATGCCCCCTCAGCCTAGGCCATCAGATGTACATCTGATCCAAGCCAGAACATCCAAGCGTGCAGTACATCATATGCCTTCAAGACTTGTCCACACATGATCAGGCATGAAGTCTGGGCTTCACAGCTTTGGGCCCGACGAATTTCAAACAGCACCCCTTTTTTTTTGCTTTTGCTATCAGGCCCATCTAGCATTTTTGTTGTTTTGTTTTAGTTTTATTTATTTTTGTTTTCTTTATTTATTAATTAAACAAATAATCAGAAAAATCACAAAAAACATTAAGTTAGTATTTTTTTAATTAAACTAATTTTTTAAATAAACTAAATAAATATTTTAACTATTTTCTTTAATCTAAAATGAATTAGAACTTAAGACTTGATTTATATTTAATTATCTTCTTTTCATAATAAAAAACTAAAAAAAAAAGAACTTAGACTATTTTTCTTGATTAACTTTATTTTCTAAATAGATTTTAGGATAATTAATTCAATTATTTTCTCAAATAAAAAATATACAAAAAAACAGATTTTCTTATTTCATTTAGAATTGCCTTAGGTTTTAGACCTCTTTACCTTTCGCACGTTATTTATTTTTCACATTTTTATATTATTGTATTTGTATACTGGATGTAATAGACTAATTAGGATTTTTACGGCTTTCCTTATTTTTCTTCCCCCAAGTTTTCTACATTGTAAGTGTCTCCCTCCCCGAAGCCATGTAATAGCGTATGGTTATATTTTCGCACTTTACATTTTTCTGTACATATTAACTGCTAGAAACAAGGATTGCATGACAAGACTGAAAAATTAAAGCGTTAGCAAACCTAAATGTGCAAGATAAATAGTTAAACTAAACACAATTGCACATATGCACTTCTAGGGTATCCCACTTCGGTTGCCTTCGAAAAACAGTCACAATTCTTGAAATGTGAGAAGTTTTATTGACTATCCTCCAGTTTAAAGATCACTAGTCCCTCGATGACCCTCTCGATGTTGCCTCGGTTAAAAGTGATCTCAGAACTTTAGGGTGGTTACTAAAGCTTCTTTCCAAGTTTCCTTTGTGACCGTAACGTCCCTTCGAATGTCCCCCAAATATCCAACGATAGGGCTACCTACTCACTAATAGTAGGATAGCACTGTCTAAAGGAAAAGAGGAAAAGAAATACCTTTTCGAGTATAAGTAGATAGCTGTTAGATGTTTGCTCAAATAAAATAAAATTTTCACACTGTTGTACCCCAAAATTTGCCCTCCCATATTTCTCAAAACATTTCAAGAAAAATTCAGAAGTCCAACCCGGTGCATCATATTCAGGTGTTCTTTCGCCAAGATATCTCTGATAACATATTATCAAATTCAGGTTCGGCTATAGAGTCAATTCTTTAAAGAAAGTATCCGAATGTGTGAGTTTGCTCGAAGAAATATGGTGAAAAAGTGTGCTGAAAGTGCAGTTTTTACGCGCTAAAAAATTCATAACTTGAAGATAGTGGCTCGATTTGAACCCGTTCCGGTGGCCTAAATTCCGTATTGACATTATCTACGTTTTCATCTCTCACGGCTGGAAGCCAATTTCGATCAGAAGGTCTTAAAAAATGTGGATTTATCAAGTATTTTCATACAGAAAATTTGTGACAGAAGTTTATTTGCGTCATGTTCAGAAAATCATAACTTGGTCGATTTTCATCGTATCGAGCTGGTTCTGGCGCCAAAATTTCACAAATTGAGTTGGCTACATTTTCACAGAAGGTATTAAGTTCAAACGGTATTCAAAAGGCCTTCGTTTTTTGCTCAGACTGTGTGACACGCTGAAAATCCTGAATGCTGAATAATATTTAATCTGGGCCGAAACTTCGAAAATTCATAACTCGGTCAATTTTTATTGGATTGGGCTCATATTTTTACACAAGGTCCCTGACTCATAGATC